AAAAAAAAATAAAAAAAAAAAAAATATATATATATATATATATATACTAGAAGGATATGGTGACCAAAGGCACGTCTAGCTTCACGCTTCTTTCACCACGGGGAGAGGAACACAAGGTTGAAAACCATTTGTAAAACACTTGTAAAGACCTCTGGCACTCTTAGGACTATTCCCCCAACCAGGCGAGCCGCCCGTGGCGCGTTGAGGCCTACCTGTTGACGCCATCCCTGGAGAAGAGACAGGTGTAAGCCTGGACGCTGCCTCGGGCCTCTGCGGGTGGGCGCCAGCTGAGACGGACAAATCGGCTGGAGACCAAAACAGGGACCACATCTCGGGGGGCAGAGGGGAGGACACTGGAGCTTGGGACAGCTGGAGGGGAAGGAGAGGAGTCAGTCAGAGAGGTCGGTGGCACGGGGGTGGCAGGGCGGGTGGGAGGTGTGGTGGTGGCCACAGCTGAAGTGGTACGAAAGGAAGGGCCAAGGTGGCATGGAATAAACGTGAATAAAATGACAGGGGGTGAAAGAGAGAGAAAAAATAAACTATCGGTAAAATCACACCTTAAAATACACCATCCTGAACCATCCTCTAAAGCAAACAGCAACACGTAAATCTTGTGTTTTACCTTGAGAGACCTCAAAATTATTTCCCGTACGAGCAATCAGTATGAAATATTCCTTCATTCCACTGGTTTTGTCTCTTTTCCCCCAAGCTGCAGAAGCGTTTAACCCGCCTAAACAAGCAAGAACTGACCACTCAAAGCCTGAAGCCTACAAGCTGATGGGTTTGGCAAGAGCAGAAATTAAATCGGGTGCTTCAGCACGTGACCTGTTAGGTAATCGCATCGAAGTGGGATAAAATGAAAAGAAAAAAAAAAAAAAAAAAAAAAAAAAAAAACTTAATCTGAACACCGTTCCCCACGGAAAAGTGTTCAGTCTATGTGCAAAACCCCGAGATGCCTGAAAACCGCAGTTTCAGTTTTGTTTTTGAGCAGTGCCTGTTTATTATAAGAGTTTAAGGGTTTGGTTGTTGGCCACGAAATCCATGTTGAAGCTGGCCTGCTGACATAAATAAATAAAAAATCTTTATTTTTGAACGATACTTCAAGTGATCAGCTGCCTCCTGATTTAGCATGTGCACCTTACGGAGCACAAACAGTTGCCTAATCCTCTCCGTGGGCAAACATGATGGATATAAAGTTCAATTTGATGGGCCATGCTGGCTCTGAAAAGCAGATTTTTCACCACAGGTATTGAACCAGCAAGCAATAATTCTTAATTATCTCAAATTTGTTTGTTTTTTTGGGTTTTTTTTTTTTTTTTGGTCAGTCCCTTGTATATGCTGTGAACTATATTAGTAGCATTAATTTACGGCGTGATCATTAACAGCGTTGTATTGTCTAAAGAGCTTGTGAAGAATAGTTTATGTAAAAAGCATGACGTTCGCCGAATGCTAGCTTACCATTTTCTTATATTATCCCTAAATTATTATTATTATTTTACGAGCCATTAATATGGCTATTATTAATAACAAATATTACTGCCTCTTACTTCTTGCGATCAATCCAAAAACCCAGAGGGAATTCAGGAATTTCCCAGTGCCCATTTCCAGAGTAATGACGTGTTGCAAGAAAATATTAAACCACAGTCTCAGCTCTTTTGCCTGCGAAGTTGTGATCCATTATTTGCGCTGAGATCATGTTTAGCATCCTTAGTCACAGGCCACTGACCTAAATAATGTGCAAACACAAGGCTAAAGTATAATTCTGTGTACATTTATATTATGACGACGCAACTATTTTGCTTCACGGTCAGAGCGAGCGGATTTAGGCTTCTGGTCTAGTCTATATATTGACTCATGTCTTATAAGCTTTAAACGTATTGTCTTCTAACTGCTGCGGTAGATAAACGTCTCTAGAGAAGTACCAAGGACACAACTGGAAAATAAAAAAAAACCAAAACAACACCCAGACAAACCTACGAGGCTTTTTCAATTGGATTTTGCTATTTAAATGGAATACAGCAATCTAGAAAACGCCCCGTTATTAACCAAGTTGGCACCTGAGGGCCTTGTAGAAGCTTTGTTTCCCCACAAAACACCTCAGCCCGTGGTTCCTCCACCAAATATCCATCCTCCTGGTGTAGCACGGCAGCCTGGCACCTCTCTTCCATCAAAAGCCATATGCAATTTCAAAACTTGCACTAGGATCAGCCCCAAATCCAGACGCGTAGATTTAGGTGACTACGTGAGTGAGTGTCCAAGCTCCCCCGGTGGGAAGTGAAGGCTTCTACCTAACATGGATGATGGAGCCCAATGAGCTCCTCAAACCACCCAACACGCTGAATTAATAGCTAAAATCTGGAGGCGAATCGATGCCCTTCGCGACCTCACGCCCTTGGATGCGGTGGCAGCTGACCTGCTAGGTGTCAACTTAGGAAAAAAAATAACAGCGAAAAAAAACCAAACCCACAGAGGTGAAAAGCAGCAAGATTGGGACTGAAGCTGCAGTCCGCCTAAGGACGTGTTTTACTCTGGCTTTCGGTAAACTCTGTAGAGCTATCACTGACAAAAGCAATTTCGCTTTTATTGTTGCTAGCAGTGAATAGCAAACATATAGAGTACAATAGTACAATATCGAGAGACACATAACCTGAAATTATCTCAGCAAGTAATGCCTGAAATCCTTCAATCTTTCATATGACTACACAAGATCAATCCACCACTGGTTAAACCATCTTCATCCGAGGCTGACAGGCTCTGATTTGAGCCTGACGTGGTTGATATTAACTCCTTGCAAAGTGCATCTTTCTCGGCTCTCGTGACAGGC